ACGTATAGGGTCGGAGTAGCCGGCGTCGATCGACAAGTCACGTGGCCCGAACTTTTAGGGGTCGCCCTGGTGGATTCGCCGTGGCTAGGGTACTAATATTTATACGCAATACGTTGTTTCATTGACTTAATTGGTTAATAAAATCATGTGATTTTTATAATGAAATATGTCATTTATTTTATGACAAAAATAACTTGTTATATGATATATTGTCAGTTATTTTTAAGTGACAAAGTGCCAACATGGACTTCATTATCCGTATTATAATGTTTCTTGTTGTTTTCTGTGAGAGTTTGTAAGGTCATATAAATCGCCCACATCCATAACATATTCTTTCAATAATAATTCAAGTGCTTGACTTCGTCTTTCCAGCGTCGTTATACGATCGGAATCTGATACGCCCAGGTCTTTATACTCGGGATTTTCATCGACGAGAGGGATAAAGTCTTGGAAATTTTCGCTTAGTTTTACTTTAAGTCTGTGTCTGCATCCGTAGACTTCTTGAGCCCAGCCCCAAGGTCCAATTTGAGGGGCACCTTTTAATTAATTGGAAAATATAATTAGAGTGATATACAGTTATTTTGAAATTATAATTATATTGGGTGGAATTGAAATTTACCAAAGCAAAATGCATAAACAGCCATTCCTAGACTAAAGCCACCACCGAGTGAACTTAAAATTGAAAGGATCTATTTGATTGAAAAAAGTTTGTTTTAAGTGAGATGAATATAAACAGAAAATAAATGCGCATACACAAATATATTTAGAATCATAATCTTACCGTTTTTTCTCTAAATTTATTTAATAAAATATCGAAATAAAAATTTGTAGGTAAAAAAACTAAATTTAACTTGAATCATTCTATTTACCTGACTTGCTCATGTTCAGTTACAAGTCGATGGTCGTAATATATTTCCAGAGTAGCGTAGTATTTAAACGATGACGCGTCGAATGGGCTAACGGATTCTAAATATTGAAAAATAGGAGATTGAATAAAAAATTCTTTTTATAGACCAACAAGTAAAAATACAGTAGATACATACGTATTTTAGTATTTATAACCATATATTTGCTCGGCTTTGCTGCCGTACCAAGGCGGTTTCTGAATTTATGACCATCAAGATCTTTATTAATCACTCTATTATAACGGACAATACTTCGCTAAAATAAGCAATCGAATCAAAATGTTAATAGGGAAGGTATTTAAAATAAAAAAGTATAGAATGAATTACCTGATTACGAGGAACTAGATACATATTAGAGTAGAGTGATTCATCATAAACCTCGCTTGTACCTCCTTTTTTAAAAACTGTGTCATAGAAGGCTAATAAAAAGAAAATTTATTAGTACATGTATTTTCTTAAAAAATTTGATAAAAAATGGAAAGAAACCTACACGCATCAAATAAGAAGATATAAATTCCGGAGGATGACCAAACTGGTCGATCGTCTAGCGATTGAAGATACTCTGTGCTAACATTTGATTGAAGTTGAATTTGTATTTCAATACCGTAAATCGATCGATAACTTAATGATAATTCTGGCTCGTCTATGATATCAAAAAAATGTACTGTAGATCCGTCTATAGATACTTCCTTTAGAAAGTCCACGCATTTTTTCCCATCGTTAGAATTTATAACATCATATTCTTGAAATAAAAAGAAATTAATGAGTTTATTTTGTCTAGTAAAGCATATTTACTAAAATTGAATTATACATCTAATTACCATTATTTAAAAAGTTACACGTCACATTGAAATCAAAAGCTCCAACAAAACCGAATACTAGGAAGTTCAAAACACATGAATAAAAATTTCGATTATTTTTATTAAGAATTTACGTTTAAATGAAATCAGCACCTGGAGCAGGTATGCTCTCCTCTGGTTTAACAAATGTTGTGAGATGTGGAACCTCTTCCACAAATTTCAATATTAGATGAATTAGATAGGCTAGAGTACCAAGATACACTAGATATATAAAAACGAATTTTATAACATGAAAAAACGTTGGCTCTGTTTTGCGCTTCGGTACTATATCAACGAAAAATTTTCTTATTAAGCGTATTATTGGTTTTCGATGTTTCTTTTTTTGATCATTATTCCGATCCATTATTGCAAAATATAAAAATTAAGTGGAGCTCTTCAATTGAAGTTTTAAAGTGTATTCTTTCTTGACGCGTAAACCTTGGGGTTTTATAACATTTATGATTGATTTGTGTTATGTCACGCTCTACTTGAAATCTAGTTGGCATTCGAAAAAGCGAAAGTGATTATCCGTAATAAGAAACTTTTATTGTTAGGAAAAGAACTATCAACTATCAACATGCATATAAGAAACGAATTACATGCATGATGCAGATAACACTCTTTGTAAACCCAAATTTTGACAAATGGCGCAATTATGACAAACTGACACAATAGCAAACTCTGTAAAATTCAAAATTTCGAGATTTTTTATGAAAAAACATAACTGTAGTGGGGACAACAAGTCGCATCGTGAAACAAAAAATACTCTTTGGCAATTGTAGCCGGGTCACTATTTTTTTTGTGCAACCTTCTGTATGAGCATAAAGAACATAACGATAATTGCGTATAATAATAAGCTAAAAGCAAAACTTGCTCTTTTACCTGTTTATATAATGTTATTGTAATTCATTTAAATGGATTTACTTAGATCTAAAAATAAATACTATGAAATATACGTACGTTTGATTCTTTTGCACAAAGATAAACATAGTAAACATACATGTACACAGCGTATTTATTATTTTGTGTGACATCGGGACACTCACCTTTGGTGGTGCTCTGGGTCAGCCTGCAATTTTGTTTGGCCACGTATAACTTACCGTCAAATAATTGTGTGCCAGCGTCATAAACTCATAGGCCTTTAGATCATAGTTATTGACACAAGGATGTCCAGTCGAGCATTTTTCTAATTTGGTACAAATATTTAAGGTACAACCAAAAATCGTTCTCAGGATTTGGATGAGCCAGGTAGTGTCATGTGTTAATCAAGCTCACAAATTTGACCGATCCAATTGTAGGATCACAAAATTCTAACTATTTTTTGTAATTTCGAAATCTATTATCTGGCTTTAATGTTTAAGCAACTGAATTCAAAAGGAGAACCACAATCATTAAACTTGATATCCTCCAGTGATAAATTGAGAGTGCGAATGAGTACAAGTTAAGGTGATTATTATTATTAAAATTTTATATGCCTTATTGAAATGTCTGTGTGGTTCCTTAAAAGATAAAGAATATTTGAGATTTGTAGGTCTATCTTGCGTCGGGAGTTATTTTGTGAAACAAAATATTATTGAAAAGAGAAATAATGATTAAATGATAAGGCATATTAGTAATTAAGTTTAGCATATGAGAACACTCGAAACCTTGCTGATAACTTTATGTTTCGAAATTTTAAATTTTAGCTGATAATCTCATTGAACATTCTAGACAAACAAAAAATATTAATACAGTGATTAATAAAATATATTATGTTGAATAAGGATTTAAATCGAATTTATTGCATCAAATTATCGGAACTTAAGCTATACGTATGTGAATTATGGGATTTTGTGAAACTACTAATGGTAAATATAATTTTATCCAATACATTCCTATAATTGAGAGAACAATCCTATTTACATGTAATGCTTATTCGTTTAAAAATTATCACCGTAAAATGTCATGGAAACCACCCTATGGAGAAAATCTCAACCTTAATTTAGTCCAGTTTCTTGAATAAAGCCAATTAAGTTTCTACCAAATGAATAAATCAAGATTCGCCGTACAATTTCTTCAATTAATAGCCTTGAGGCTATATTAAGGTTTAAATTTTCTCCAAGGGAGGATAGGGTTGTTAGTGGAACGGAGTGGCGTGAATTGGGTTCATATTGTAGTGGAGCAAGGGGTCAATCAAATTGAACCCGCTCCAGGTTCATTGTTTCGGTTTTGCTCCAGCTACTTCGGCATACGTATTTATAAAAGTCACATGTAATTAATTTGATTTGATAAAAGCTATATATAAAATACTTTTATTAATAAACAAGTTTCATACTCGATTTCAAAAATAAAAAAATTTATAATTTTAATAAAAAACAAAATTAGGAAAATTTATTTACCCACATCCGCTTGGTCCTACAATGGTTGTCGTTTTCTCTTTTGTCATAACGAAACTAACACCAACAATATCCAAACACTGTATTTTCGAATCTGTTTACACTACCTTGAGAATCAGTGATTTCGCGTCAGGAATATTCTAAATCACCAATTCATTTGACAACAAAAAACGAATTCATTTTTTTGCTGGACTTTAATCCAGAAGCTATTTCATTGGCTATTCTTTAATCCAGAAACTATTTCATTGGCTATTTTTAAATAGATCATCATTCTAGCTCCGGGTCACTAGATGTGGAGCATGAAGTGGTTTGGGTTTATATAATTATTGCTCCAGTGAAATTTAGAAATTACACAGTATGCTGCTCCATTAAGTTTTACAGTATATTCTTTAAAATGTGCTTAAAAAATCTGATTTAAAAATTGTAATAAAAATTAACATAATCAAACTATTTTAATGATTCTGATGTAGGGATAGGAATCGATTTTCTAGAATTGATTTATTAGAATCAATTCTGAGAATCGATTGATTTTGTAGAATCGATTAATATTTTAAAATTCAAGAATAACGGTAGCGATAATGCATACGTAATAATAAATCGTGTAAATATATGTACGTACGTACTTAGAAAATAATGATTTTCACTTGTGAAAACATGCAAATGTTACAAACTACAGTCAAAGTCCTTTACAACGGCGGCGCTGTATACATCGGATTCGGCTTATATCGTATTGATATCCCGATTTTAACTACATACCGAAGTTTATAATATAAGCACTATATACCGGCTCAAAAGTACCAATCCAATGCGGTCGTTGTAAAGGACTTTGACTGTACTCTGTTATTCAACAAAAATGTTAATATTGATAATAACCAATTGTCAATATAGAGTTTAATAACTCTGATAGTGATACTAACGCTAATGCCAAAAGTAGCTGATATTGATCCAAATTTGAATGATAATTATGAAAAAACAGAAAATACATGTAATGAAACGGATACAGAATCACAATACTTCAATTGCCTCTATAATATCCTTAGTATCACTACGGATTCAACTAATTAAATAAGGAAAAAATCAACATGCAATGAAAAAACCAAAGACCAGTTATGTCATCGCCATCGCCATCGCCATCGTTATTGCTGTCGTCGTCATCATCAATGGAATTTGTGCTCGAGAATCGATTCCTGTCGGATTTATAATTATTTGTGAAGTGCTTGCGTTAATTTCGATGTTTGTTGTACTATCTGCATTAATTTCGATGTTTGTTGTACTATCTGCATTGTTTATTGGGATGTTGATAATTAATAATTTTTTCTGGTCTTACTCAATTAATATGAGAATCTTTACATATTTATTCGTGTATGTCTTTCATTTGAAATAAATTTTATCAATGAATTAATTAATGTGCAGATTAAAAATGGTTTGCATCGGTTGTTCCGTACTTACTTTGATTGGTTAACACCAATGATCTGATCTACAACGCGCCTCTATACAGGAAAGTATGCTATTTTAGTATCATTTTTCCTCTTTCATATTATTATCTTAGTTTGAATTCTATCGTTATTGTCTGAAAGATTCTATGTGCATAACATCTATACTCATCAAACAATTTAATGTAATTTTGAACTCTATCGAGTCTTTCAAATTTGATAATGTTAACAAACTAAACCATAATTAGTGAATTTTTATCACTTTTACGACTTGTTTTTTTTGTTTGCAAGATTTTTATTGGAATTATAAAGGTTTAAAATTATGTATTTTTGTTAGCTTTTATTAATAAATGCTCATAATTCGGAATGGTCAACACTATAATTTTGATAAAACTTTCCAGCCTTCGGCCACTCAAATACTAGATTTCTGATGACGTAATATACAGTCAACCCTCTCTATTGTCAACATGACGGGACCAGACATATATGATATATAAGAGGGTTGATAACTCAGAGGTTAGAGTTAGCACCAATATATTAGTCCAAGTGAAATTTGTTCTGCAATAAGTGTTGATAATAAAGAGGTATTGGTATTAAAGAGGTTGATAATAGAGAGGGTTGACTGTACTTTGAAAATTCGGAATGAGCAATTACGCTAATATAAAGATACAATAACTATTCAGAATGAGTATGAATATCGGTATCGTTATTTTTGGAGAAATTTTATTCATGCCATTTGATGTCACTTCGATAATGCAACTAAAAATAATTTTTGGATCTGGCATAGCAATTAAAGACACTCACGTATAATGAACTCTTGACTGATTAAACTCTTGATATAGTGAACTTGAGTTCAAAACAGTCTATAATAAATCCTCTAGACATACTGTACAGCGCTGTCAATAAATGTCGCCAATTTATTTTGTAATTTTTGCACCAACTCCACGAACTGATTTATTATTTCAAATAATTTTAATTGATAATATTAATATTACAGATGATTTATCATATAAATAAAAATCCCAATACTTGTAAATCCAATAAAATCCAGATCACTTTTCAATATTTAATGCCTGCAGTCTTTCTTGTTGTTCTCTGTAAGAGTTTGTAAAATCCTCTAAATCACCCACATCTATAACATATTCTTTCAAAAATAATTCAAGTGCTTGACTTCGTCTTTC